ATTGTCAAACCTATTGTTCCTTTCTTATGCAATAGGGTATGAGTAAATGTATTATCAATTGTTAAAATGCAAATTTAAAAAATTATAAAGCAACATATGCTTCAGATATTCTTCTTCATGTTACCATAGTTATTTGCTTCAAGAAAATTTCTAAATTGCCTTTGATGTTCAAAGCCATAGCCAACAATTTGACATGAAAGGAATTGATTTTGAGGTCATCCAATAGAATCAGTCATTCAGAGCTTGTTAAGAACTTATCCTTTGAAAAATAGTCTAAGGAAAAATTATCGATGTACTCACTTTTATATCATAAAGAAGTTTTACAAAACTTTTTTCAATGGAAAAGGAAATATCTTGCAAAATAAAGGAGGAAAAAGATGAAAGACCAATAAATTGAAACAAACAAACAGTAGAAGACATGCAGTTGATCATCTTTCCATTGTATTTAGGATAACATTGTCTATGAGAACAATAAGACGATAAGTAGTTAGTTATCTATTACTAAGTATTTACCATAATTATTTTATTTCACAAAACTGGTGATTAAAAAAATCTAGAATCACACCCAAAATCCTGTAGAAGTCGATAACACGAATTCGACACTTTTATCTAAATAAAATAACAAAACCATACAAAATACCTCCTTATTTTCGAATTCTTACTAGTCTCTACGTTCATCCGTGTTCAATTATAGCTCCTATATAAGTAATGGAAGGCTCTCCATCGGTTAGATTTTGAAGAAAGTTTTGCCTTATGTTCACATTTGAAAATTATCAGAGGAGAATGACTCAGGTAACAGAAAAATCTTGACAACGTTCATATAGTCTGCATGAGAATTTTCGAGAACAAATGATCAAAAATGTTGATTAAAGTATTTGTGTGAGATATCAGCACAATTTCTAAGTTAATTGTTAGACTTCTCATAGGGTTCAAACTAGAGTGATAAGTAAAATCACTTAAAATGTTCTTAGAAGGCTATTTTCAGTGAACCTATTTAAAAAGGTTTTGAATATAATCAAGGTACTCATAAAATTAACATCTTCAATTCTACAGTTCAAATAAGTTTGCTGTTTAATTAAGCATTTTCATGGGCACCCAATAAATCAGAAGATAGTTGTCATCCCAAAAGATAAGAAGTACTGTGTAGCTACTTCATTCTATTTTGCGACTTCTCACTAGCGCCAATTAAAACTGTCCATCATACAGAGACAAAAACTAATGACGAGTGACCACGATAATATCCAACCAATGCTCATTAAATTTCTACCTAATGACTAAATCTTAGCCTATCTATAGTGTGGAATACAGGGTTATGTCAACACATTACTAGAATCGTTACTTTAAGCAATTAGTGCAACTTTCAGCTGACAAGCGTTCTTAGTCATAAAATATATAATGTAAAATGGGACGCATGTATAATTCGTTGTTAATATTCAATAACTCTTCATCAATTGAATATTGATTGTTTGTCCTTATAGGATTAAGAGGATTCATTAGCGAAAAATTTAGGTTACGTCTCAAATTAAAGGGATAAAGTGACTTGCTCCATATTTAACTTACGTAATTATAGTTAATAAAATGAATTTATCATTAGTTTTCCGGAATCGCTTTATTTTTTGCTCATGAAGAGTAAATACTGAGTGCTATGTCGTGAAGTGTTGGTTAGAAGATTAAATTAAAAACATTGTACTCATTACCTATCTATTAAATGTAAATCTGTAGGCATGATATATTGATCAAGTTTACGAATCAGTGACTAATCATTCGAAACTAATATAGAGATGTAACATACACCCTGTTAATCCGGAAATATATGCTGGCGCTAAAGTTTATGTGGGTTCGAAAACTTAAATGAGATTTGATGTTGACGTTCATGTATGCTTATTCTCACTTTTAGACTTGAAATCATTTTGTACAGAGATCGAAATAAAGATGGTAATATTGAACTGTCCGACTTTTCACTAAGGTCATGAAAAATTAATTGCTAGTAATCAACATGTTTCATCGAAGTCAAGGCAATTGTTTAAATGGATGTGTCAAAAACTTGATTGTTTAAGTTCAACTTCGATTGAAGTTTTGATAGGATAGATGTTGTCACTAACGGTGGTTGAATGTTTTTACCAACATTGCAGAACATTATCCATTTTCTGAGCTGCTCGGTAAAAATAATTTTGTTTGGGGTATTGTCTAAAGACGTTTAAAGATTTTGTAGAGAATCACGAGCTAGCCTGAAGTTGAAGCAGGCACTAAAATCTAGTCATTTAGTTTTCTTTTTTTGTTACTAAACTTATAACAGTCATACACCTGTCACAATTTAAGTTCTATAGCAGGTTTTCTCATTGAAAGACAGCTCATGGTTCAAAATGGAGATCCCAGTATGGTTACTGAATTTCATCTCGGAGATTCAAACTTTGAGGCAGCCATAGTAAAAGAGATCACTATATATTTCAAACCGCATTTACCCATTGATTATGTTGTGCAGTTTTAGGATGTATTAAAAAGGAATACGAAGTCTAAGACTTTGGTTTCATGTTTGATGATATTCATTGTTAACAATAATTCTGTAGTTTCTCGGTGGTTAAAATATAGATTCATGGTAGATCTTTTAGTCTTTACAGATTTCCTGTTCATCCGATTCGTTATAAGTACATAAACACATTTTACTCTTTTGAAATCAGTTTCTCTGTACTGTAATATCACTACTATTCGTATTCACAATTTGAAAGTTATGTTTAATCTATGTAGAAATACTTTAATCTCAAATTGAAATTATTTCACCAAAGTATCAAATAAATGTTAGATCAGTAATTAGGATATACCACAATGAATTCACTTAAATTTGTATCCGTTTAATGTTAATAGTGATATTTCACTGACTGAAAACTTATTTTGATGCATTTGCATAAAAATTACATGACATTGTGGTGTCGGTTATTACGTTAAGCCCATATACCTAACTCTAGTTTTCGGATAGGCCAATCATCTGACTTATTTAATTCCGTTATTCACTAATGCGATATAAGTCGACGATACATACGAGGACTGACGATATGTATATCCCATAAGCAATCAAAAACGATCAAACTGGAGTCAGATCACAGGGCCACTAAAGTAGTGAGTTCGTCGACATCATCGTGTGGTCTAATTGACGTCAAAATGAAGGGCCCTACCAAAAAATAAGTTTCGTCATAACTAGATATTCAATGTAGAGACTAAAAAAAATCAAGAAACCGTTGATAATCTTATTGTTGAATGCATTAACAATTGGAAGCAAATACGATTTAAAGTGTGATCAGATGATAGTTAATGAAAAAACACCAAAAGAATATCCTAATCTTCCAGAAAATGAAAAGTTATGCCAAGACTTGATGGCTGATCGGCATATTTTCTAAATAGAATGACATACTTGTGTGGAAAGATAGTCAAATACTTCTAATTTGAATAGTCTATATGTTTTTCTGCAGAATTTGATTTTTTTTAAATTTAGGATAAATCATTTTATGTATTTTTAAGCTATGAGTAATTTGATTATAGAATTATTATGAGTAGTAAATGATTACAAATTTACCAGTCTATAAAGGATCTTAATTTCAAACACTTTCATTAATCATTTGAAATTCTTTTTGTATGAGTTATTTTCTAAGTTCACCGGTGTAGAAAGAATGAAATTCACCCATAGACTGGATATGTAAAGCGTCTAATATCTAGTCAAAATATTCGTAAGTTGTATTTCAGAAAAAAAACTTTCATCTTTCACATCTAAACATTTGTTTGTTTATGAATCATGTGTGCCTTTCATTGAAAGTTTACAACGTTATCATAGTCACAAACGGTTTTTTCGAACGAATCATCTTATACATACGACTATACAAAGTAATATCTGGTTAATTTACTTTCTTCTTTATCATTCTTACGAATAATAATTGTTCAGAATATATTACAACTTCTGAAAACTATTTGATTGAACAATAGTCAGACGTAACTGTTAGCTACTTGTGAAATCTAACTGTAAATGGTTCAAATACTCAAGATAAAATAAAAAGTAAGTTGTAATTATTAAAATAAAACACTCCCTACTCAAAATGATTTAATCATTTATAAATTCATTTATTAATGAAGATTTGATTATCATACTGGGAAATATGGTCATAAGAAGAATATCATTATGTTATCATTTATTAACAGAGTACATATGTCATTCAATAAATATATATTTGAAGACGGTTCCGTAAAAGAGTATTAGAATAATTATCAAACTACGATGTACTAGACACTTTTATCATCGTGGGTTAAATTTTTCTCAACAGTTCAGACCATACATTTTAAAGGCTAGAAACAAATCAGTATTCTACTGCGTTCTTTCTGTTACTTCACTAGTCTTCAGAAGATATATAGAAACTACTTGTGAACTTAACCAGTTTTTATTGTCAGAGAAGTGATTTGTAGATATTATAGTATTTGAATAATCGAATTCATGAGTCAATTGAAACTAGACCACCATGGAAAATCTGGAAGCACTCGATGGCCGTTTCATACAAATGTGGGACGCCTCACCAGTGCTAACTCACCATCTCACATCACAAGTTTCGAACTCAGTTGAGTTCAACCAGATCTGTTTTGAGATAGTAACTCACTAAAGACAATGGTGAATGGTGGCACGATTTCGAGGATTGGTTGAAGTTAGACATTAAAACCGTTAGATTTCGACTCAATGTTCTAGATGTTAAGCATTTTTGCACGAGACTGATGTGTTCTGTGTTCGAATCTTGCGAGCGGGATCATGGATGCGCACTACTGAGGAGTTCCATACTAGGACGAAACGGCCGTCCAGTGCTTCCAGGTTTTCCATGGTGGTCTAGCCCCAATTGACTCATGAATTCAATCTCTATTGTATTATTCAAATAGCTTTTCTTTCATGTTAAAAACACATCGTTTTCTAATTATTATATAAAAAATAAAATACGTACAGGAAAAACTGCATCTAAAATATAAATGCTTACCTGATTATTTGCTGGTAGGCAGTCTAAAATATTCAATACAAGTTTTGCACCACTTTGTGTAAATCCAGGCAATGCTATTTGCATGGCATCATAAAACATTGGATATAATGCACTAGTGAATAAAGGTTCTGGTAATTCTCGTAGAAAATCTTTAAATACAGCTAAATATAAATTAAAAAAATAAACAAAATAGAACATCTGAAATGTTGTATGGAAAAATTTAAACAAAATAATTTTGTACTGTGTATCAATAGGAAAAACGTTCTTTTTTAATTATTAAAAAGAAATGACTCATGATCTCAACCATTGAGATTACCATAATATCCACAAAAAACCCATCTGATATTAATCAACATATGCTCACTAGTGACTGGCTTCAAAAGGTATATCCTGGCGTTCTAGTGAGAAGTAGTGACCAGTGGAGTTCAACCAGGTCTGTTGTGAGATAGTAACTCACTGAAGACAATGGTGGATGTGTCGCTCAATTTCGTGGATTAGTTGAAGTTAGGCATTAACACCGTTGGATGCCGGCTCAGTGGCCTAGTGGTTAAGTGCTCGCGAGCGAAGCCAGTAGGTCCTGAGTTCGAATATCGCAGGGGGCGAAGTCGTGAATGAGCACTGCTGAGAAGTTCCACAATAGGACGAAACGGCTGTCCAGTGCTTCCAGGTTTTCCATGGTGGCCTAGCTTCAACTGACTCATGATCTTAACCATTGAAAAAAATGAATTATTATTGAATCATATTTGATAAATATAGTTTACAGTTTCGACTGATTTACTATTATTGGTATTCACTTATTCTTATTGAATTGTTAACATTTCCAACTATCCAGTTGGACATAGTTGTTGTTTAACACATTCATACTTGAACATATATGTTTCTGTTTACTGTTTAGTAAGCATATACGAATTACGTTTCAACGATAGAGCGATGATCATTATTGTTTGACATTTGTACTGTTAATCGATCAATTAATCATTCATTTGTAAACGTGTTCAGTTTTCAGTGACTGCAATTATAACAACGGTGCGATTCGAACACAACTAGAGAATGAGATCTATATTAGACGAGATGCATGTTTTACACTTTATTATCAGGCAGTATTTAAAATTATAATAAGCTGGTGACAGCGTGTAATGCATAAAGATTTTCATTCAAAAACGTTTGGTCGAACGTAGACCTAAATGTCAACAGTGAAAAGATACAAACCAGTGCGAATAATAATATTAATGTGTGCATAGTGAATATACCTCGTTGATATTGTTTTTCATGTCACTTAGTACTTGAAGAAAGGTGACGTTTTAGGAGAAGAGCTATGGATACTTTTGGTCTGACTGAATTTGACAAAAAGCTACTAAATATGAAATACGTATTTTTTATAATTCCATCGAAATAACTGAATATTTTTATCAGTATTGTATTTTGTATTACATTTCCAGTTAGAGCACATGTTTTATTGAAAGTGATAGATTAGAGACCAATCTACGCCAATGATTTCTAAGTCTCTTTTGATTACTGGTGTGCTCATTTATAACGTTTATAAGATATAGACTGAGAGACTCAAAGAAAAACATTGAACAGTTCTGAGGAAGTTTAGTCTAACCAAACGACAAACACTTTCAACGAATCTCTAAACTGAACTCCAAACGCAATTTCAGATATTTGTGTGAGTTATTGAGAATATTTTAGCCTTGATATCGCAATTGTTAGACTTGTAAAATTTAACAAACTAAATGAAATGGATGAACTTTATCACTGCCTAAAACCATTTCACTCAATAACTAATTTACTTAATTCAATAACACTAATTACATATGTCATTATGCTTTCAATTGATATTGAATAGATTTGATGTGTACCAACACCTACCGAGTTTTTATTCCACTAGCATGAAATAAAAATTAAAATACTTTTTTATATTTAAAAGTTAAATTCATGAGTTCATTGAAGCTAGACCACCATGGAAAACCTGGGAGCACTGGACGGCCGTTTCGTCCTAGTATGGAACTCCTCAGTAGTGCGCATCCATGATCCCGCTCGCAAGATTCGAACACAGACCACATCAGTCTCGTGCAAAAATGCTTAACATCTAGAACATTGAGTCGAAATCTAACGGTTTTAATGTCTAACTTCAACCAATCCTCGAAATCGTGCCACCATTCACCATTGTCTTTAGTGAGTTACTATCTCAAAACAGATCTGGTTGAACTCAACTGAGTTCGAAACTTGTGATGTGAGATGGTGAGTTAGCACTGGTGAGGCGTCCCACATTTGTATGAAACGGCCATCGAGTGCTTCCAGATTTTCCATGGTGGTCTAGCTTCAATCGACTATTGAATTCAACTATTAAATTACTAACATCTCCACATAATGCCCTTCTGATTTAGAATGTTTATAAATTTATAGCATGTCAATTTAGGATTGTCATACATAATAGAATAAAATTGTTAATATTGATATGATTCATAAACTATTAACTTGAACCAGCTTATACATTAAGTGAAAATCTACGATCCATGATCAGACTAAATATGGGTATTTGTTTATCACTCCTAAATTCACATGCTTTAAACGATGTACTTTGCCCTTAACCTGGCCATTTTTCGGATTATTAATTTGGATATATAAATGTAGAACCTGAAAAAAAATTATCGACAAGAATATTCTTCGTTCAAATATCGGTCTTTTGATATGATGGCGATCTTTAAACGAATAAATATGGGTCAAATAGGATGAGAGAAATAATAGTGCAATTGCGATTCGATCAGAAGTTTAGTGGAAGACTATACTGTGTGAAAAATTATTAGTAAGACATAATAAGGTGGGATGAATGCGAATTAAATGAATCATGTATTGGGGAGATTAATAATGATGTTTAACCAATAATTATGATAATAATAATTTCTAAAAATCTCCACAAAAACACATTCTGATAATAATAATAATAATACAAAGATTTGTGAATAAAGATTACGGATACAATTACATTTGACTACGAAAAGTCGTAAGTACAATGGTCAAATTAGGTCATACAATAGCTAAGATTACTATTAATTAATTGGCCTTGAGGTTGTCTAGGAGAGGAGAAGGGATTGGAGATATTTGTATGCATAGCTCCGGTTTCTTAATCCGGATGGCTATTGCTTCAGATGTTTGAGGCTATTTAAGTCTGACAAACTTTGGCAAAAAATTACTGACCCGATGAATAAGCTGATTCTAATCAACATTCCATATTAGTCATTTTAACATTAAAAATTTTATTCTATTTTGCTTAACAATCCTATAACTTTAAACGATGCACTATGCTCTTAATCTGACCATTTTTCGAATTATTAATTTGGTATAATCAATTGTACAACCTGAAGAAAAGTTATCGTAAAGAATATTCTTCTCTTAAGTATTGCTCTTTAAATATGGGGATCTTTAGACGATTGTAAATTTTATGTGTGCCCATTTTAGTTCATTTATATTGGGAGCGACATAGATCAAGCAATGTTATCTGGTGACGATTATACTATATCTCAAACTAATTAATGTTCAAAATGTAAACTCAACACATACTTAATATTATCGCAACTATGTTGTTGACTGATAGATGCTTAATAGTGGGAAAATCACAGTTTTTAGCGAAACAAATTTTTAGTAATGTCTCTTTCTTTAGGATTCACCAGCTTATATTAATTAGTGATGAAAAATGTTTTCATATTTATGGTTGAATTGAATTTTTCTTTGAAGAATATTTACATTTGATATTGAAATATACCTATAGTGAATTTCAACACATATGATCAGAATTCTTTTTTATGATTCAGTCTTTAGATTACATTTTGTTTGGCAGATGTCTTACCAAATATTCTTGCCGAGTACTAAAGCAACTATTTTAAACTATTTAACCATAAAAATAAAACCTTAATAATGTTATTTGATGGTGTAAAACTTTCTTATAGTAAATAACTATAACGAATTCTATACACACATTTATCTTTGTTATTCATTTAAATAAACTGTTGAAGGATTGTTTCTTGGATTTTATTATATTTAATCCTATGAATTTCCTTCAAAATGGATATATATTAAATGAGAATAGATAAATGATAATAACACTTGAATAGAAGAGAAACGAAATGATTTTCTTGTTCAAAAGTGACTTTTTTTTCGTTTCATATTATGACCTACAAGTATTAATAATTATTAATCTTCCTTGTTTTATTTTCCTCTGATGAACTAAAATAAATACAAACAAGTAGATGATTATGCAGAATAAAAGTCAATAACTAAATGAATATGAAAAGAAAAACAAAACAAAGGAAAACTTATAACTGAGAGGTGGGTGAGTGTGATGGTGGTGTTGAATGTACATATATATATATATATACACGCAAATACAATTACTTGATAAGTACTTATATGTTAAAAATGTTGAAAATAAAAACAAGAATACCCAAGAGATATAAATAAATAAAATATTCTACATGTATACATGTTCAAAACTATTTAGTAAATCAGGTCAAGTGATGGGAAAGAGATATCTTAAAAAAGAATGTCTAATTGAATTTGTGGGAGGGATGTATAGTTTTTTATTAACAATATTAGATAAGAATTAGATAAGTATGATTTCATACTGTGAATAACATTGAATAAATATTTTAATTAAAAAAAACAATGAACTTAATAAACTTTCCTTTTATTTATTCACTTATATATATATATATATATATATATATATATATATATATATATATATATATATATATATATATATATATATATATAGCTAAATTTTTGTTTGGTTCATAAAGGGATAAACCTCTTTAACGTTTACGTCTTTGTTTTTTACTTTAATCTAGTTCCATTTATTTACTGTCAACTTGTGTACGTGTGTCGTATTTATTCTTGTTTATCTAGTCCCTTGTCCTTCAATATATATATATATATATATATATATATATATATATATATATATATATATATATTGCTTTCTTTGTATATATCTTGGCCATCATTTATATCCTTCCTAGATAGTTTTTTGCCTCACTTCCTCACTTCTACATCGCAATATCCAAATAATCAATTAATTTATCAGTGTTGGCTAAAAATTTATTTTTAAGACATTATGTTGAATTGAGAAAAACAAACAAAATATAAATGGTGATTAATATCA